CCTTTCGCCCGTCTTCCTCTTCCCCGGCCCCTGCCCCGCCTCGGCATCAAAAGGCGCGGGAGGGTAATTAGGGCTTCGTCGGGTTTGACACACGAGAAAGCCGAGGCGGGCACCGCTGGCGAGGAGATGGGAGGGGAGGGAGCGCGCAGGGCGTTTGGGTGACGGGAAGAGCTGCGATGCAGAGCGCCGGCGTGCCCGCTCGGCAGCAAGGGACAGAGGGTCTCCTCGCCCCCGCACACACAGCCAACCAGCCCAATTTTCTAGGGAAAAAGCTCAAATCCCATATGCAGAGTCCGAGGATGGAATAGCCGGTGGTTCTCCCCTCTGGTCTTCCCCGAGCTGCTCAGCACAAGCCTAGTCAAGCCCTGGAGGCTAATGGTGGGGAGATGAATCGGTACTCGTCGGTCCGTGGTGGGGGACGCCAACGCGGTACACGAAGGTGTAAAACTCTAGTTCGCAGGCTACGATGTGCGGGGCTACCCCAGGGGAGGGCGAGGGAAAACACAGCAGCGGAGACCTGGCGATCTCTCCGGCCTGGGCTCTCCGTTCAGCAGTCCCGGGGCAGGCAGCTCGGAGGTGTATTTTCTGTGGTGCGGGGAGTTTAAGTTACGGCTTGACTCCGGAGCGTGCTCTCCGTCACGCTTCTTGCTCGGCTGACGGCGTTGTCTCCCTCGCAGGAAATCGTCACCATCGTGGTCTTCGGGGTCGAATACTTCGTGAGGTGGCGGCCGGGTGGCTCCTGCCGATACCGGGGCTGGAGGGGAAGGTTAAAATTTGCCCGCAAGCCTTTCTGTGTCATCGGTAAGACCTGCCTCGCGGTGTGGGATTTCCCAAACCAAAATGGTTATCGCGAGCTTCTTGCTCGCACGGTGCTCCGGTTTCTGGCATGCATTGTGGGGCTTGATCCTCAGCTGCTTCATGGCCACCTTGAGAAGGGACCTGCCGATACCGGGGCTGGAGGGGAAGGTTAAAATTTGCCCGCAAGCCTTTCTGTGTCATCGGTAAGACCTGCCTCGCGGTGTGGGATTTCCCAAACCAAAATGGTTATCGCGAGCTTCTTGCTCGCACGGTGCTCCGGTTTCTGGCATGCATTGTGGGGCTTGATCCTCAGCTGCTTCATGGCCACCTTGAGAAGGGAAAGAAACAAAAGTCCTAGTCCACGGCGCTGTTTTCCGTATTCTGCGGGGGGCCCACCCTGTTTTCTGCAGAGCTGGGGGCCGTCCCGTCGCGCCGCGTAGCCCGGGCACGGCCGACAGCCGCAGGAAGGGGGTTTAGCCGGGAGCAGTGGAGCGTAGGAGCTAGCATCCTGCGATCCCGCGTCCAGCCTCGACACCGGATCGCTCGCAAGTCGTCGAAACTCCCGGTGTCTCACTTTGCCTTCCCTGGTGCTGATGAGCTGCCTCGCAAGGGAGTTATGAGACTTAATTAATTCTTGTTTGTCAAGTACTCGGCGCTCCTCTTGCGAAGGGGCCCGTCTGTGCGTGGCTGTTGTTTTTAACAGGGTAAGGGTGGGCAGAGAGGCTGTGCCGATCGCTGTGGAGCCTGCTCTCGAATGCCCCGGAGCTGGCGGTGGCCATATGCAGGATTTTAGCTTGTTCCACAGAAAAGCGCTCCTCTCAAATTGGCACAGAAAACCAGGGTGGAGGGATGCTTTCAGGATCCTTGGATTTGAGCTATATAGAGCAAGGCTTGTTTTATTAGCCTTTTTCTTGGCCTTTCTTTGTCCGTGGGCACCCTGGGATTGCTACGGTGCACCTCTAGGTCTTCATTCCCAGTTTAGATGGGGGAATTCCCACTTCTCACGGCACTGTGTAACCGGCAGCTGCGGCTGATTAAAAAAGGGCATGCCTTTTGCAAGGATCTAATCCAGTTTAGCAGCGCTAACTCTGAATCGTGTCAGAATTCGGGCTTTGCAGTATTTGACACGTTTTCTATGAGAAGGATGAGTTTGGAGAAGGAAATGAGGACGTTTCCATAAGGTGTGTAGCGGCTCCTTTCATCCGGGTTAAGGTTTATGCCGCGTCCTTCCAGCACAAGCTACAACTGACGCAAGGTCCCTTTCACACGCAGCATTCTGCTGCCGGCGGCAGTGGGATGCCACCCCGTTTGGTAGTGGTTCAGCAACACTTCTTCAGCTTCCAGTGCCCTCTGTTCCCGCAGACATCATGGTGCTGATCGCATCCATCGCTGTGCTGGCGGCGGGCTCCCAGGGGAACGTCTTTGCCACCTCGGCGCTCAGGAGTTTGAGGTTCCTGCAGATTCTGCGCATGATCCGCATGGACCGGCGGGGCGGCACCTGGAAGCTCCTGGGCTCTGTGGTCTATGCGCACAGTAAGGTGAGCAAGTCCCACGTAAGGACATTGAGTCGCTCTTCACGTTTTTCCCCGCCAGAGACACTGCTTTGGTTCAGTTCTCCACCCCAAACGTCTCCCAGGCCTGGGGGGACTGGAGAGACACTGTAGAGTAACCTGGGGAGCAACGCAAAGTCAGAGACGCACGGTCCGGCGGAGCCCTCTGACCGGTAGAGGAGAGAAAGGAGAGATGTTTAGGTGTTTGCAGGGAATCTTGTGAACATAGTGACCACCTGCACACTGACACAGCTCATTTCAAAGAGTTAGCAATTAGCTGGCAGCCTCATTAAGCGCAGGCGGTGTTGCGAGCTCTTTGTCTACGGTGCGCGCTTCCGAGCGGATGCGTTTCTGAAAGCGCATCCTGCGAGCAGCAGCCTCTCGCGGACGTGATTGCTGTGGCAGGTTCCTCCTCCTGACACGGGCTCGGGAAGTTGCAGAACCCTGGTGTAAGGCACCTCGGCTTTTCTCATCTTTGGGAAGAGTTTGATCAATGTTTTGTTTCCTGCTGCCGAATTTATGAATTTAAAATTTCTCCTGTTTCCTGCACTTTTTCCCCTGAAAAGCTCAGCCAGCTTATCCAGATTTGCGTAACAATTGTAGGAACTTAACGAGTCCTTTTTTGTCCATCCTTGTATTAACTTCATCCAAAAATAATCACTCCCATGAATCCTGAATTAAAACTTCCCTGAAACTGGGGGATGTTGCACCCAGACCCCATCTTTGTAGCTCTTCCCCTGGTAGTGGAAGGGTACTGCTCTAACCAGAGTCCCCGGGGATTTGGGGTTCCCGTTTCAGTTTTAATCCCACTTCTCTGTGTGAACTGGGGAAATAATTTCTGTATTTTTTTTAGTCTCAGTTCCACATTTTGAAATAACGGAGCTGTTTCTGTTCACTCTATGTGTTCAGACGATGGGGTCTTCAGGGCAGGGATTGTCCCACGTGTGTTGCGGGGCCACTACCGGTACGTGGTCTCATCTCCAAAAGGTGCACTACTGATCTCCAACCAAAGCCTAAACGAAGGCAGGGAGAGTTCAGCTCCAACCGCAAGCAGCTCACTCAGCTTTTGGAGATGCGCAGCAGGGCTGCAGTTATTCCCTCTACCCCTTAATGATCTTGCAGGAGCTGATTACTGCCTGGTATATTGGCTTCCTGTGCCTCATCCTGGCCTCTTTCCTGGTATACTTGGCCGAGAAGGGAGAAAATGAGCACTTCGATACATACGCGGATGCACTCTGGTGGGGTCTGGTAAGTAATTTTCCTAGAACAGCTGCTGGTTTTTAAAATAAAATGTCCATTAACCCTCCATCTTCTATCACTTATGTGAGGAATCGGCTTCACGGAGCGCTTAGTTAACGTTTTTATTAAATGGCTTCAGGCTACTCCATTTAGCTTTTTTTCTTAACTAAACCTCATAGAAAATGTTAGGGGATCACATTTTTGTGAATTAGCTGGAGCTGCAAGAAAGCTGGGAACTCGTGTGCTCTCAGTCGTGGGATTTAGCTATGTCGTGACAGTAGAGGCAGGTTGGATAAAGACCCCGTGCTATGGGGTGCTTCGATCGACATTTTGACAAGTATTGCCGCCTTTTAAGTATTTAAAATCGTACTTGGGCAATGCGCTGTTAAACACGCCAGAATAAATTTTATAAAATTAATAGGATCTAAGTACCAGAAAGGCTTCTGCGCTGAACGAACTCCCCTTTCACATCTTTGCTGACAAAGGAGGAGAGGGCAATACTTTTAGTTTGCCCTCTGTGTGTGTGTGTGCACACATGTGAATTATTGGATTACCCGATTACCAAAGAGAGAATTAATGACATTCTAATCTTCTTGCGTTATTGTTCTTCTGCTCCGACGCTGTGGTGCTAGTTTGACCTTGATTACAAAGCACGTAATGAAAATCCCAGATCTGATCAAATCCCAATAACAGGCTGGGGGAGGAATCGGCTGATCAAGCAGCTCCTCTGTTCCAACAAAGGGAAAGGAGGAGTAAATTGCTTTTCAAGCCCCTTGGTTATGACAGAAAATAAAAACAAAGCCCTAATAAATAAAAACTAGAAAATAAACAATGAGGAAAAAGTGACAGCCCAGATTAGAGCTCGGTCTCGGGAGAACCCATGCAGATTTATCCCTCCTGCTTCCCAGGCTGTGCGCGCCTTTGGCAGAGCATCATCTCCCCTCCTTTCAGGACGCTGAGGTGCACCAGACTGCTTTGCCACTGAAAAGCTGAGACTAAAATTTGAGCTTCATTAAAATAAACAGGTTTTGTCATTGTCCAACTCACAGGTCCAGTACAGACAGATCTTTAGAGATGGGCAAAATAAATCAAATTTCAGGTTCGGAAACTTATCCCTTGGTCTGATCTGAGTGGATCCTTTTAGTTGTCTGTATAAATTATAAAAAATTTGTAAACTGACTTTGCAGTGATTATGGAGAAAGCATGTCTTTGACTTTGTGTTTCAGTAAGGGATAGCCACGTAGACACATTTTCTAACCGCTTTGTCAAAGAGGCATCTAATTGATAGGGCTTTTAGTGGGTCCAATTAAACAGCGCTTTGGGATCGTACTTCCATTTGTGTAAAAGCGATTTTATTCTAAGTTGAACGCGTGAGGTTTCCAAAGGCACATCAGCACAGAGTCTGCTCCCGTCCCTGGGGCCAGCTCTGTCCGTGGAGGCTGCGGGACGGCGACAGCTTTCCCCTTGGCACAGGGACATTTGGGGTCCACTGGGTAAAAATCTCGGAGGTGATGTCCCTAATCAGACCATCTCTCCCTGCCTTGCCCTGCCAGTCCCAGGCTCTTCAGATCCTCTTGGAAACCTTGGGGGATTCCCAACATTTCCCAGTAGTGATGAGATTCTTTGTCTCCAACACATCTCTCAGCTCCTTCCCCAAAATGCACGCAGCAGCTTGCCAGCACTCTCTTGGTGCATTGCAATAGTACTGAAGAGGGGAAAAAACATCCCTAAATTAGGTTGTGTGAAGCAGCCATAATTCATCCTGTTGGGCTAATAATATGCTGGTTTTAAATAGGAAGGGAGACCGGCTAATAGGCACTGCTGGGAACATCAGGAATAAAGAGCATCAGGTCTTTATGCATGCAAATAGCCCTGCCTTCTTTCGTGAGGTGCCAAAAGCGGGTTTGGGGGGACCGTGCCGGTTCGCTTCCCTTGCCGAAGGTGCGACCCCGACTCCCGGGGCAGGCT